CCCAGCTGCCCGGCGCGGGGTAGGCGCGGACGCGGGCGCTGGGCTCGTGCGGGGCCCGGGGCGTCGCGATGAACATCGTGGTGGAGTTCTTCGTGGTCACTTTCAAAGTGCTCTGGGCGTTCGTGCTGGCCGCGGCGCGCTGGCTGGTGCGGCCCAAGGAGAAGAGCGTGGCGGGCCAGGTGTGCCTCATCACGGGGGCCGGCAGCGGCCTGGGCCGCCTCTTCGCGCTGGAGTTCGCCCGGCGCCGGGCGCTGCTGGTGCTCTGGGACATCAATACTCAGAGCAACGAGGAGACCGCCGGCATGGTGCGCCACATCTACCGCGACCTGGAGGCGGCCGACGCCGCGGCGCTGCAAGGTAACTGGGACCCGAGCACCAGCATTGTTGGGTCAAGGCTTTCCCCGCCTGGCCCCTAAATCCCGCTGTCATGATCAGTGCAGCTCTCCAGGGAGAGAGCACTGCCACCAGCCCCCACCCACCACCAGGCACGCACCGGTCTTGTGCGAATGGAATTTGCCCGCTTGCGTGGCTTCCCGGTCACCTATGTGCTGGAAGGGGGAAAGTGCCCAACCCTTGGCTTAGTGGAGGTCCTGTCCCTTTGCGGAGGACTATCGGGTTTCCGAAACCCGTTGATTATAGGGAAGGCAGAGAGAACTTGTTGCCACAGGTTTGAATCCTGCAGAAACGCTTCACTCGCGTTTGCGGTGGGAAATCAGTGTCTTGGGGAAGTTGTTCTCAGATTCAACTGATGCCTGTCTACAAGTTACTGAGGTCTGAACCGGGTGGACTAGGGCAGCCTTGATGATTTCACTCAAACTTTAGCCATAGGAAAATAATTAACATTGTTTCACCAGAGAGACATGCCTCAGTTACATACTCAACCTGATTGAAAGATGCCCAGTCTGTTAAGAGAAAGCACTTGAAATATGGAAGGCTCCTTGTAAATTTATTCCATGTTTTTGGTAACCTCTGAAAATATACATTGCAGTTTATTTGTTAGCCTACCTGAATCTAAGACGTTTTAAGGAAAACCTTAAATAAGTTCTCCAAGTGTAGAACATATCCATCCATAAATACTGACCCAGGAAATTTGATCATGGTTTGTACTTTTTGATAGAATTTTTCATTTCCAGGGAAAACACTGAACTATTACCTTGGGCTCCAGCTTTCCTGTATATTGATCATTCATCACCAAAATAATGGCAACTTGCCGTGTAGGTCAAAAAAATCAGAATCGGTGAACTTTACATTTTCAGTGATGGCCTGGAGCAGTAGCAAATACAAATTTTTGTGTTTCATGCTCAAACCTAAAATATAAAGTTATTTGTTTTTCAGGGAAATTATTTTACTTTTTAAGTTGACCTCATATGTAGTAAATTCTTTATTTACCTGTAAACTTGATTCAGGGAAGTTCAGCTACTCTGGTTGGAACAAACCCGTGACCTTCACCTTTTTTATGAGAAACTTTAGGTTCACTTCTTGAATGAATTCAGATTATCAATTACCGTTTGGTCTGTGAGTCTTGAAGTGAGTTTCCATTTTAATAGTGTTCATAGTAAAGAGTGACCAATTCTGGTCACTGTTTACACTCACCCATCCCTGAAAAAAGGCTAGTGTCTCGTATGTATGTTTGGGGGCAGGAGGTATTAGTCTCTAGGCTGAGATCAGTTTTTTCCAGGTGTCTTTAGCTCCAGGAAGCTAGTCCCATGAGGTCTGACTTGTACTGGGCTTGTCACAATTACACGATTTTCCCCAAAGCAAAGTTATCCAGTAAATTGCTGTAATTCCCAAAGATTGGGGGGAGGGAGTAGGGAGGAAGGCAGCTGTAAGTTCAGTCATTGGCAAGCTTTACAGTGTTAGAAATTTGAAGCTCACTGTAGTATTTTTGTGTTATGTGATTGTCCTACTGATTGCCATGTGACTTATGTTTTATACCTTTTCTACCCCCACCCCTCCCCATTCTCTGTTCCATTTTTTTCCTCTTTTCGACTTCTGAGGACAGCTGGGAATGGTGAGGAAGAAATTCTGCCCCACTGTAACTTGCAGGTTTTTACCTACACCTGTGATGTAGGAAAAAGGGAGAATGTCTACCTGACGGCTGAGAGAGTCCGCAAGGAGGTTGGTGAGGTCTCAGTCCTGGTCAATAATGCTGGCGTGGTCTCTGGGCATCACCTTCTGGAATGTCCTGATGAGCTCATTGAGAGAACCATGATGGTCAATTGCCACGCACACTTCTGGGTAAATATAAACATCCTTGTTTTTATGACTGGGCCCTTCTCAATGAGAAGGTTGGGGAGAAGGAGACTTTAGCAGCAGCTGAAAGCCACCTATGCTTTTTTCACTAAAAGCTTCCTTCTGATTCTCTTTCCCCATATGGTGGTTATAGTGTCTGCTGGTTACTATTAAATACTTGTTTTCTTTTTCCACCTAATTCAGTATTTCTTGAAAGAGGAGAGAACTGAACATTTTGAACTAGTTGAAAGGTTGCCATGAAAAAACAAGAGGGAGCATAAAACTCTGGGTTTGTTTATTTTACTTTCTGTTGAGTTTGTAAAACATTGGTTGTTCTTATGAATTCCTAAAGTCAGAGTTTAGACTTCCAAGTTATTGCTCAGCCACATTTTAGAAAGTGCCAGAGATTCTGAGATCAGCATTTGTGATCCACTGGGAGTGGTCAGGCCACCCTGGCAGTCACTTAACATTATTGACCATCCACAGGGTCCATGGAATTATCCTCTTGTAGTATATCCCAGCTCAGAAGATGCCTTTCTTATGAGAACAAAAAGTTACCCTGGTAGGACCACAGAGTCACCATATGAGAGCAGGGGAATTGTGAGAGCTTATGAGCCAGGAATTTAACCCTATCAGCTTCTAACCATCAGGGCTACCATCTGAGGATGATAGGCCGAGAGCCTTCTGCCCTGCAACTCTTCAGCGCTGAACTTACCTTCACTGGTGGTATGTGTAAAACTCCCCTGTAACCATACAGTCAGCCTGCTTTATTCTTTTCTTTCTCCATGGTATTTCCCTTTTACTTTGGTAGACTGGTAGCATCTAATAAAGAAAGGGTTGGGTGGGTGGGTTGTTTTCCATAAGCAGATTACCTTCTCAGAGAACAAAGAACTGTTTCTCCTAAATAGGTCACATTAAACCTGATTAATTTTTTAGCAAAAACTGCTTAATAACTTAACCTGGCTTTAAAATTACTTTTTCAAAATGTTCCTCAAACATTCTATCTTTTCTCTGCTTCTGGAAGGAGATTATTTTCAAACATGAACTATATTCATTTCCAAACCTCTAGAAATGAACATAAAAATGACCTGAGATAACTCATAGCTATGTTTTAAATGAGTAAGGGGATTACCAAGGGGAAATTTAAGTGTTCATAGGTGTGTATTTGTTGTGTCCGGTGGGGGTGGGGAACTGAATTAATGTCCTGGTGGCTGCAGATCCACAAAAATAGGTAGCAAGTGATAATGAGGTGGATTAGGTAGATAAAGGCTACCAGTACAATTGAATAAACTTGGCACTACCGTTTATCAAGGATCTTGTGTATTTATAAATTCAGTAAAACAGATTTGATGAAAAAAAACCCCCACAACTTGCACGTGCAAATGGACTGTATTTGAAGAATGGAAGGATAATGCTGCCATAGAGATGCCATGGTTTTCACATATGCAACCGTTGGTAGGCTAGTTATGAATCACATATGCCAGAATTAGTTATTTTTTCCCTCGAGCAACCTTTGACTAAGATGATTCACACATTCTGAACCATTATCTTTTACCTACACAACATACTCTAAAATTTAGCCACCTTACCAGCTTTTTCTGCATTTTGCTGAATTGAAAAAAATATCAAAAGTAACCAGATTTTTAAAGAAACCCCCTACAGTGTGCAGTTAAATACTTTTATTATGAAAGCAGTTTCTCTTACCTACACATCCTATAAAGTGATAGCTAATTTAGAGTGTTAAGTGCAGAAAATCCATAGCCTTGCTTTGAAAATGTACATTAATTGATACACTATATCTCTAACATTAGACTTTCTAACATAAGGAGGAAATTGAATCAAATCTCCAATAGAAAAATTATTCTGGAACTGAATCTATATATCATGGAGACATACCACCTTCTTAGTGTGTCCTTACTTTGCTTTGAGATGTTGCTTAACCACACAATTTAGGGAGTTCTTGGAAGCCTTGGCAGTAATGACGTCACTTCGTATTAAAATATGGGAGGCTCCTGAATTCTCCAGCTGTTTTTCTCCTAAGCATCTAAACTTAAGAATTTATTTTCAACATTGAGTCAGAAAATTCATTTTGGAGCTGGAATTTCTGACTTTTTGCCGAGACTTACAACCCTTTTGAGAAGTTTAGGTCTAGCAAGTAAAATTTAAAAGAAGTCTTACTATAATTTTTACATTGATTTCCCGCCCCTCTTGGAGGCAGTGTTTATGGCAGGGGGTGTACTGTTTTCCTTCCAGAAAAAAATAGCCATTGCATTTTGAACAGTGCCTGGGTAGGGTAAAGAAATTGCCCCATATATTTTAAATAGTATACAGCTGAGCAAAGACTTGCTCAGCCTTTTGAACAGATCATCTTGAGCCAGACTTTTAAATAGCAGTTGATATCTGTTTTCATAAAATAATAAATAGTATGCTGGTCCTGACTCACAGTTACAGTCATATGCAGTGAATTAGAAAAATCATGCAGATTTCCACTGAAAAGCTTGCATACTCCTACTTCCAAACCATTTCTCATACTACTACCCTTAGCTGGAAAGCCTTTTTCCTTCTACATCATATACCTTTAAAAGGCTAGTTCACGTTCTTAGTATAACCCTCTCTCCCTCTCCAGCCTTTCCTGGTATTTCTGCACATTGGAGCTGAAAGGGATTTTAGAGATCTTGCTCAACTCCTTGTTTTCTGATGAAGCTGCAGTTAAATAACTTGTTGAGGGCTTTTTTCCTCTTTCCAGTAGTCTCTTACACTCTTTGTTGTCATTCCTATCCTTAGGTGCATAGCATGTGCTCCGTGATATTACTTTTTATGCATTGTGCCAGTGAAATCCCAAAGCAAATGGCAGCTGTCTGAAGGCAGTGTATCATATACATCTGTTTGTTTTCCCCTGCCTGGAACAGAAATCTACTCATAAGTCACACAAATGTTTGATGATAAAGGCTAGTTTTGCTTTAATATTTTAAACGATGTCCCATTCAGAGAATACTCAGATGGATCTGTTTTCTGAACTCTCCAAAGGTGAACAGTTATGTCAGACTAATGCAAACAGTAAGAATGACAAAATGTAATTGGCTCACGTTTGTTATTGTGTCTCTTTATTTCCCTGTACAGTTTTTCTCCCTATCCCCCCATTATACCCATTTTTACTGTAGCACATTAACTCTGCATATTGGTGAGGCTAGCAACTTTGAGAAGACTATTGTTGATGTATCAATTTGAATTAAGCTCAGATGGTGTATGGCAACCATTCATATTTCTCCTGAATAGGTCTCACGGGGAAGATTCCTACCACAACTCCTTCATTCTTAACCTCTTACTATTTCTGTAGACTTTGTAAGTTTTTACAAAATTTGGCATTTGGCAAAGCCTTGCAGTCTGTCTTTGGTATTCTGTCACCAGCAGTTCTAGGAACCTTCTCTTGATTACCAGTCAAGAAGTGGTAGATTTGGGGTAGGTTTTTGTCAGAATAACCTGCCAAATTTCGGACAAGGCCATCGAGGATATATGCAATGCAATACACTTTTAATTTTGGAATAATCACAGCCATCATTCACTTAAGTCCTTTCTGTATCTCAGTGAGATGGAAAAACTTCTCATCCCCTTTGATATAAAGAAAGTTCCTCCAAATAGAAATTTCAAACCCACATTTTCCCCACAATATTAATATTGTTTGACTTGTTATTTTTTAAAAGTAGTATCTTGTCATTTTTTAAAGACAGAGTTTATCTGTAGATCCTTTTTGACCAAAGAGCAGCATTTGGCCTCTATATGTAAGCAGCAGAAATGATCCCTAATTAACCAAAAAGGGGAAGCAAAAGCATTTAACTCCAGGCCTTTTATGTTCTGAAGAAATTTTGCATGGTAAAGGACTAAATCTGTCAAATAGCTAGTCGGTAATTTACTTCTATTGATATGGTAGTCAGACAAGATAATTGGTAGTTAATTAATAGACCACTTAACTTAAAAGGTTTCACAGTTTTAAAATACTAATTACTGAATTAGGCATTTATCTATATCCAAATGTCTAAAGTCTATTTAGTTAAAATCCATCCAAAAGTAAAAGCCCACCAGCTAGATCTGAGTAATGCAGCACTTAAAGACATTAGTGCTGTGGTTGTACCTAATATCTCATGAATGGTCCGTAATCATTAATGTTTAAGTTCTTATGTGATTTACTGGTTTTTAATCTCATGCTGTATTCCTATGTTCTCTGGTTAGAGAAACCTAGTTTTGTTGAAAGCCTCTTAGATTTTTGAAGTATTTAGAAAAATAATTTCTAAAGTATTCATGTGAAACCCTTTAGTCAATATTTCCTCTACTATACCAAAATATTAAGAATTATTATACTAAATAGATCATTTTATATTTTTATATAACAATATTATAGAGTATTATTTACCTTAAGATAGCTACTAAAGCATTGAATTTGTGCTTGTTTTTAGAAATCTGTACCAGAACTCTCTACTGCTATTAAATAAATATATGAGTAATAATCAAATATTGGAACTTTAGAAATAAAGACATTTTTATGTCTTGACTAAACTATAAATTGACATGGGTAGGCATACTTTATCTCATTAATTGTTGTGCTCATAGTTAAAAAATAAATAAAACATCTTTGTAGGTATCTCTGTTTGACTATGTGGGATGGTACACCTAACAGGGTGGGCTCAAAGCTTTTCTAACACAAAATACGGTGCTCATTGAATTTTGAGTTTCTATATTTGACAGATTACATGCTGGACCCAAATCTATTGCTATTAGAAATCAACATCTGTGGGTTCCTATGAGCTGACGACTAGCTGGCCACTCATGGGCAACTGGACCTTTCTGCCATCTACAAGTCACAGCAAAGAATTCTTTGCCTACCTACAGAGTACAGCTCTTATCACAAGGCAGGCCTGGCTAGGGACGCCTAGGCCACTGTTGACCTGATTACGTGACTATCTCCATGGTGGTCTTGGGTTAACTCTGCCTGTGATAACATCAGATACTTT